ATGTAATGACAGTACTATCAATTAGTAAATAAAGTCTCGCATTTTATGCTTATTCGCAGTAAAAAAAAAAAAAAAAATTGAATAAGCATAATGAAAATTTTGAATAAAAATTAAGTATAATAATAGCAAAAGTATTTATTTGTAAATTTTTATAAATTAAAATATTCACAAATTTTATGGTTGTAATATTTTCACTGTCTTTTGGGCTACAAAATGATTACATTGACAAGCTTTAATTCTACAAACCTGATCGAATAGAAGTTCACTGCAAATAAGCATAAGAAAGTACCTATACGCTTTAATTAGCATATAAAACTTTCTCAAGCGTTATTTTTCAGGTTAAACTTATGGGCTTTATTTCCGAAAATGCATAATGGCATAGTACGTATATATGTGCACTACATAATAATATCTATAAACATTGCTTACAATACATAATTGATTAGTTGGGAGGACAATAAAGAACAACCTAATCCTATAATTTAATGAAGTGTCATAATTTTCTAAATACTTAGGGAGTTTGTTTGTTAAGAATAAAATTTATTTTATGTTTGTTTATAACTTCAATTGCCTTTTCACTATTTTTACAATCTTTTTCATAATTTCTGTAAGCTTCGCCAACCAAAGCTTCCAGTTCGCGCTTGATTATATCATCAGAAACAACATTTTCGAAGCAGATCAGATTATCATAATCTTTTGTATTGAAAGCTCGTTTGTTTTTTTCGGCTTTACTCGAATAGTACATCTTTGCTTCAGGACTCAGTTTGACCCATGCCTTTGAAGCTAACTTAGAGATATCTGTCATAGTAGGGCTTTTGAATTGCGCGCCATCCTCGCATGCTTTTTTTAACATCACGCTAAAATCTTTTTTAAAATAGGTGATAAAAGAATTTAAAAACTTTCCACGGCTTCTCTTAGAACCTTTATTAATGCTAGGTACAATGCTTATCTCTCCGATCAATATTCGTTTCCTATTCATGATGAAAATTATTGTAGGTCGCGAAATCAATCGAAAAAGGGGAGGGAAACAAAGTCACTGGGGATTTTATAACTAACTTTTAAAATCATTTTGGATATATTGAGCCATTACTAACCATTTATTCCAATTTAGGTTCCATAATAATGATTTCGTTAGTTCCTTTGTCTTTCATCATGAATTCCACGGAAATTGTTAGGTTATAATCATTTTTTCTCTGTGAGCACAGCTTTTGCATTGATATATAAATGCATAATCATCAGACAGTGCATCTCGTAACTTTAAGAAGCAATAATATATTCAATACAGATGTTGTACATACAATGATCTTTATTATATACAGTATGTTTTTGGTGTGGCCATGCTACAACAATAAAATACATTAAAGTTTGTTACACTTTGAAAATATCGTTGATGCCAATTTTGTTTTGAATGTCAATGTTCTACGTTAGAAACTGATAAGCTTTACAAATATGTAATCATCTAAAAGTTATCCGGAACTTTACGATAATTTGATGAAATTAATTTATAATGTATATTTTCTTATAGGTAGAAATATACAGTACATACTGCAGGCGATTGTAAAATATTTTTATGTAAATTTTATCGAACAATTTGTTTTGTTTTTTCATTATTCTAATGAAAATGCTTTCTTTTTAATGACTACTTTTAACTGCTGTGTAGTAATAATGAATGCTACTAACTATATGGGGATCGAGATGATTTAATTTGTACTTTATTGTTCGCGCACATCCTTCCTAGTCTCGTTTAAAGTTAGCTCCCATTTTTCTTGCAAAAAATATTATTAGACTGTGCTGTTTGCAAACATTTAGCTAATGTCACAGCGATTTACCGGATTTGTCACGCTGTACATGTGATTATTTTATTCTTCTGATTAATAAAGTATGTATTATAAATAATGTGGATGAAGCTATAAAAATTCTTTTGTTGTTTGTATTTTGCTTATTTAATCTTACTAGAAGATTATAATAGTTTTAATGAATTGTTGCATATTCATTTAAATGTGTGCTGTAAAGTAAGATTAACTTTTATTTACAAACCAACGTTTCTAGTTTGATATAAATTACCAGTGTACATTGGTTCCATTTAACATTCAATCATTTAGGCATGTAATTACTAATTACAATATAATAAACCAGTAGTAAATCAATCGATTAAACTATCATTTCAAAATTACATTCCCTTTGAGCACATTAATGAAATTTGTTCTGAAAATTAAAAGTAAAACATGCGAGAACTAATCATAAAAAGCTTAAATCTGTGATGTATTAAATTTATTGTTAAAATTTTGTAGATTTATTAATAAATTAAGACAGAACTAGTTTGCCTTTCTGATCACTAGCAAAAAACCGTTAACAATGCTACACAAATAATTCAAACTACGTATATTAGCGCCATTAAAATTAGAAGTTGACTATTTTTCTTTTAAAAACTAAGCCATCATGTACCATGCCTCAAAAAGAACGCAAATGGTACCGAAAAAGCATATACACGTGCGTTATAATATCGGAAGCTTCATTTGATCTCTGTCAAGCTCTAATTGCATCAAAGTAATAATACAAAATTCTTGAAATTTCTACATATTTAATATTTTATTGTTTTTTTCTTTTCTCATTAAGTAAAAATATGTGCTGTATATAAGGGTCGCAATTAAATATTTGCAATAAGTTTGGTGGAAATTCACAATACGTGAGATGCCATATTTTGTTTATAATAATAATTATTATTATAATATAAGCCTCAATATTAACAATATTTTTCTTATTACTATACCTAATCTATATTTAAAATCCAAAGAGTTATACACAGTGGCGCTCATTATAGTGAAGGCTCTTTATAGTAGAGAACTAATAAAAATCACACTATAGTGAAAAATTTTTAAATCAATTATAATAAAACTATATTCAATATAGTGTATTACTAATTAATTTTAAAAAAAATCACGTTAAAGTGAGTTTTTTTTTGAGATTTTTTATTATACTAAAGTAAGAGTTAAGTGTATATAACAACTTATTTATTTTATAGTAAAGTTGAATCTCCATTACCACAACTTCCCACTTTAGATAATTTAATAAACAAAAATAAACTTTTAATTTATGCCATTTGGCAGGTTAAAACTTGAGAATCTTCTACTTGTTATTTTATTTTTACCAATGCAACTACCTTACAAAAAGACTAGAATGGATTAATAACCAACAAGCTACTTACTGGATTATAAAGTTTCTAATGGTATTATTTTAATATCAAGTTAGTATTTAATTTACTATGAATTTAATATAGTAGGTCACAACCCATATATTAATTTATTACAAGTCAATACCATTTTAATATTATTTTGATATCAGTTTGAAATTCTACTAAATTATACTAGCACAATTAGACTATATTATTAATGTAACTATACTCTCAAAAAGAAAAATAACTACTGTTGGCATCTTTTTTGATAAGTCTATTGCTTTTTTGAAGCATTTTCTTATGTAATATCAAGGTTTTGACTTTACTACTTGATGTATATAATTTTGTTTAATTGAGTCTATTATTAATAAATTTCTCTTTTTTTTTATTGTCTATTTCTTTTAAACAAGTTTTTATTCTTTTTCTCTTGCAATTTTGAATATTTTTTTTGTGACAAGTATTAGATCAGATAAGTTAATTGGATTTTACTTTTTTTGGCAATGTCTATTATATATTTTTAATTAAAAAGTTTTAATTTAGAAACAGTTTTTTTTTTTTTTTTTTTTTTTTTTGAGGAGCAAATGGCTATCACGCTATCATTTATTATTATAATTTTAAACTTGCGGGT